AAGCCAAAAAGTAATAATTACGATCATCGATGACGTACAGCGACATGATATTGTTTTGCATATTATTATTAGATACCTACTGTAACATATAGCATGGCGTGTATTTTCCCGATAATTCTACGCAAATGTCTGCTATACCATCAACACCCTTCTAAGGTCAACCAGTTTGATACGCCGGCATTAATACTATTCCAAAATAATGTTTCTATATAAAAAAAACCCCATAAGGAAGTAGGCGAATTATTCAAGAGATGAAAAACGTACATGAATCATCGGACCGGCTCAACTGATTTATAACTAAACAAATCCAATAAATTACGTCCATTCAGTAGTCGACCGGCGAAACTGATACACTTTTAAGAAAAAGTGCGCGACAGTGTTATATTTTTTTTACTTTACATTACCTTTTATTTTCAATTCTTTAGACTTTATATTAGTTTCAAATTTAAATAAAATAAAAGTGAATATAATAAAATAAAATAAAAGTGATTATAATAAAATAATATAAAAGTGTTGAACACCATCATTTTCGTTTTGGATAACTATTGGATTTTATTTGGATGCCTATACCTATGTATAATTTCTATACACGTAAGTCACAATAATAATTAAATTATTCGCGTTTTGAGATAGGATTAGATTAAACTATTTATTATTTAAAAAAAATTATTATTATTTTTGTAATAATAATTGTATTAATTTATTACATTTATCTGTCATTTATTTATTGTTTATTTTCCTAATAATAATTACTTACGGTTTTTTTTTAAATTAATTTCTTTTGATGAGTATTACATTTCATAAACGTAACCCTACATACTAATATACTATACGTCTTTAAATGTGCATAATATTATCATATTATGAAAAATATTTTCACAACTATAGAATGTTTTACAAAACGTACGGCTCAAGTTTTAAAATATTTAATAGATTACAGAATGTATGAATGCAAATAAAACAATAAATCGATCTCGACTATTTGAAATATAATTTAAGAGAACCTTTTTAATTTTCGATTATTCATAATATAATATATTTCTAACCAAAGTTACCATATTGTGTCAAGTAATGCAGGTAGGCACCTATACATTATCAACCCATTATCCTATACAGTAATAAATTTAATAGTTCTTTCGAGTAGGTATATTTGCCGCTAGTATATAATGTATTTAATACATATAATACTGTTAACACATGAGTATACATGACAATAAATAAGTAGTTATGACAAGTGAACATATTTTATAATAATCAACTCGTCTGCTGGCCCCATGATGATCTTGAAACACTAATAGGAAGTAAATGGCGACATACGATTCTTAGAGTCATTGAAAATATAAATGTAATCGTTTAACGAACATAATAAAATTGTTAAACTATAAACTATAACCGGATATTTCCTTAACAAAACAGGAAGTGCTAATGAATAATATAATATATCAAGGTTAGCAGTTGGACCTTAAGGGATGTCTTGGAGTTTTGGTGACGTATAACTTCGGGGAAAAACGGGCTGCGAAATTAAAAATACGCCACAGGGGAAACTTTGTGGTAGCCAGTATACCTACTCATATTTAGTAGGGGATATAGTCTGACCGTGACCCGAATTCGCAATAATTCCAACGAAACGGGTTAGGCATCATAATACAGCCAAAACATATTATTCACGTGAAATTCTATAATATTTTAAAGACCGTCTATACGCGTGTTTGTATTGTATCATAGGCCTATTAACTCGAAAACGTTTGCCAATGCGCGTAGACGGAATAAAAAAATTATTTGCGATAATGGTGGTAACTGTGGTATTATAGGTAGCGAAAGAACTTAATAGGATTTGTTTTCATGAAATTAATATCCAATTGACAATATTATTATCATTCGTCAGCTTCGTTGCGTGTTTTGCGTATTTTATCTGGACCAGTGACTTTTTTTTTTATAAACATTGAACACTACATGGTCGAGGTTAAAAACTAGAATTAATATAATATAATATCAGCTTGAAATAACCATAAAATTAATATATTTATAAATTCCTATATAAAGCATTTACAAGTATATTATACCACTATGGTCCATGACATTCAATTTTTACGTGGAAGCTTTGGTATTCAATACATTAATTGTTGTTTGCAATTTATATTTCTCTTATAACTACTAAAACTTCTCATTAAATATAAAATAAGCCTATACGTCAACTTCAATCAATGCATTGCTAATGAAAAGGTGTTGTTTCTATAAGACATAAGCATTGATGACTTATCTTATAATATGCAGTCTTAGTTAAATCTGTTTAGATATTAAGTTATTTAATATCACATAATATACACTATACAATATACATACACCTACAATATTATGTGATTAAATTAACCAATCCATTAATAAAAATGTACAGGCAAATGTCAATTGGCATGAGAAATATTTAGACGAAATCATATGGTTAGGCTGGGGGGAGGTATCAAAAAAGAAATAATTTTTAATATTATATTATAAAATATTATTTGTTAGAAGTAGGCCTGTATAGTTCTTGAAACATAATAAAATAAAATCAAAACCTTCAGGAATCGATTAAATAGGAGTACCTACCTACTAAAGGGAATGGTGACACTATTATAACTATCTATAAATATAGCATTAAATAATAGGTATACCACCTAATTTCACTAGTATTTTAAGCATATTTTTTAAGTTAATAAAAAACACTATACCTATATAGACTTATAGATATTTAGGCACATCCCTTCAAATCATTTTTTCCCAGACTGATTTTGATTCTATAACTCATACAAAACGTATTTAGGTCACAGTGAAAATAAATAAATACAATATAATAATAAAATACCCTACCTGTATCCTGTGAATCCAACTAGTAAATTATTTAATATCGTATTATAACGATTAAACTAGAAATTATATAATACGCCAACCATATTTTTAATGGTTGATTACATGGCGATTGTTATTGCTCATAATTAAAAGTTAACACCAACACGGTAAATTAAAAATAATTATCAGAATTAATAATAAACACTGATATAAGGTAAGCATTGAGGAGAAATGCTATTGGTGTTTAAGTTTTTCAAACTCATAACATTTCATAAAAACAAATATCGTACATGACATTTTAATGCATGTTTCTTAAACACCAGCCGTAACTCTGTATCATTATAACTGTTAAGTAGTATTTCTTATTATTAGGATAATTCTAAAATAACTTGACTTGATGTATTGTGTAATTTACGATACACCATAAATATTTTATAATATATTGTATCCCTTTCATATGACTTGTCATCAAAGAAATACGACGAGTGTTGACAGAATTACAGAAGATAAGCGAGCTCAATGTTCAAATTGGCTCAGCTTATATTCACATTTTACATTTTGTTTGAAAACTAATAACAAATTAATGAAACAAAAAATCCAACTTTGGTTTTTTTTAAGTATTAAAGTATCAATTTCCATTGGTAATAATTAACTCTACGTGCATTTAGTTATTTAATAAACATATTGTTCACAATTATTTAACTACCTACCTATACTTTATTTCTCAATTCATAATTTAGATAATATTTATAAAGGTAAATAAATAAATCATTTTAATCATCGGAAATAAAAACCTTTTCAAATAAAGAATAAGCGTTTTTCAATCTGAACTAGGAAGGTATTCGAATTTGTATAAAATGAAATGTTCATTACCTAGTTTAATGTTAATGATCAATGATCCTTGGTAGTGATTATGAATCGCATCAAATAAAACGGTCATCAGAATTCTTACTGGTGCAAATGGCTAATTAAAAGGTCACGATGGACAAATTATATTGTCTCATTTTCTTTAATTATTTCCTGATGAACAGTATTTAAAATTCATTAACCATACAGTTCATAATTCATATGGTCAAAATGGATTTAAAATCGTTCTCAGAATTGGAACGTAGTTGGAACACTTGGAACATTATAATATTCTATTAGTCATATTAAACTTGATAGGTATCGTTGTCCCAGTACAAACATCTAAAGTAGGTGCAAAGTATGTAGGTAGTCGCGATGCGTATATTATGGTATAGTCATTTCGCTTCGAAAAACTGGATAAATCGACGAGAATATTAGTCGTTTTTGTAGACGTTTAAAAAAATACGTTTGGAACCTGTGCGTGGTGGTGCTGCGTCTGTTACTTACATCATAAAAAAAAGCATTCTATATACTTCCGTATAGGCGAATACGACACGTTGTGTTATACAAACAGAATATTATTCACATCGGTGTTTTTTTTTTCCGTGAGAGTCAATTATTTTCATAACGCTACAATAACGTGAGCGTAAGAGTGTACCTATAAATCGCATTGCACTGTACATGCATAGTCGTGTGCAGAGAAATGATCCGTTTATTACGTCCACACAAGCCAGCGATCGTTACCGGTGTGTGCGTTTAAAAAAAAAAATTATAATATTATGTGTCGAAATGTGTTCCAATATAAGCGGGTAAACAATATTTTTCATCAGGAAGGATATATTATATCTGTGTACAGCACTGTGACCATCTCGAAACACAAAAACACGCACAACTTGGCTTTTTCGACGTTCACTTTTGCTACAACTACATACTGTAGTACACGAGTTCGAAATAACAACACAACAGTTATAGTACAACTACAACAAACTGACCAGTAAAACAATCATTCACGTGGGGCGCTTGGCAGTTGTTAATGTCGTCAGCGAAATTATTCCGAAATTGATGACCCAAATACAATATTTTTTACTCTTAATCCATTACCTACGCGCTGTTAATCACCTCCACGTTTCGTGTGGTGGCAAATATTATAAACACAAATAGTATTATAATGACGTATAATTGTTATCTATTTTTCTCGATTGCAGTATCGGACACACTTGAGGTGGCTGCCCGAGTGCACGGCGAATGGGATGCGAGATTATCGTACGAACACATCACTCGTTTTGAACTTAATCAACGATTCCCGCCGTTGTTGACAAGCAACGAAAATGGGCTTAACCCCGATCAAGTTACCGTACCAGTCGGCCAAAAATCGATTGTTTGGCGTACAACCCCGGATGTCATCCAGCTTTCAGCAAATACCGACTTTCAACATAAACGACCCGTACAGTCATGATCGGCAGCCGAATCGACGGACCGCCAGACGGAATGGGTTACCTATCAACATGCTCGTCTCCCAGCAAAAGAGGATCAGCAACAGTGAGTACCGATTTTTGTTTTTCTCGGCCATAAGTTAAAATAACATTTAATCATTTGATATAACAAACTAATCGAGTAAAGAGAAATAAATAAATAAAATAATGCATTAATATACAAATACCTAGTACACATAAACATTATTATAGCAGCAGTCTTGTATTTAAAACAGTGTAACTAAAAGTGTAATATACTAGTTAACTCTTCTGCTTAATACCAATAATTATTAAAATATCCATTGCCATATATATATATATATATATATATCACTACGTTATTCTGCTATATAGCTATGTTTTTAACCATTATTTTGACATACCTGTTGGTTACTGTGATAAACATAATATTAACCTTTGAATGGTGACACTACCTATATTATAATATTATTTAAAATATGTCATTTCCTTATTTAAATTAAAAATACCACTTTACTTAAAACATCATAAATATTTCACCAATATAATTTACATTTAAATTTTTAAATGTAAGTGATATATTAAAAACTATTGTTCAATTAAATTAACTCAATTTTACATATTACTATGTATATAATTTATGTTATTTAAAAATATATTATACATTGAAATAAGTTTTTTCTATATATGAAATTTTTGACTAAGTAATTTTTAAATAGGTATTGCATAAACATTTTAAAAAAAAATTGTAAACAAATGTGCAATGCGCTAAGCAAATATAATACTCCCAGTAAAGATTATAATATTATACCTTCAAATAAGTTTTTTTTTTTTTAATTGCATAATTTTATTCAAACAAATAATTTTTAATATTGCTTTTTATCACTATTATTATTTATAACTATAAAACCTATACCAAATAAAAATATATAAAAAACGAACCAAGCCGTTAAATCAGGAAGAAAATGCAAGAAAACATTAACTTTTTAATTGAGGATTATTACCCAAGGCGAAAAAAATGACCACAAAATCAATATAGATATATAATAGGTAACCGAGAGAGAGCTATTACCTCAATATCAACCGGCACCACGAATCACTCTTGAATAATTCTAGTGCACTAGACCGTAGAGTATTCTTACGGTCCATAATATATTTCAAAATACACCTGGTTTTACGTCATAATATATAATTTATTTTATTAGTACCTAGATATTATTATTCTTATAAATATCGAAACTCATTCCAATACTGTGTGAGTTTGCGGTGATGAGTTTTTTTTCTTAATTTATTTAACGTTGACCGGCAGTGTCTAATTGTATACAGTTCAGTAACATTTTTAACTAGATTTTTGAAAGAGTTCGACAAACTTCTAGAAGAATTACTTGTTTACGATGAGATAATACGTTTAGTAGGTCACCGGGAAATAAAAATCGAGAGTACCTACCTCGAGCGTTCGTCAACTGAACGAGCTGATCAGCTGGACCCGGTTTGTCGACTCTGCCCTATTACATAGCCATCTGTGTGCAGTGTGCTACATGCCTACATAGTATAATAATAATATTATTGCAGACTGCGGCAGTAGTGTACCTATAATCATGACTGTTAGCTGGAGGAAGTTTTTAGCACTCCATTGTGATATTGCGCAACGACTGTTGACCGGGAAACGTATAGGATAACTGCTGGTCAATCGAATTTAAAACGAGTATTCAAAGGTAGGAGAAAGTAATCATAAAATTGAGTATAATTATTACGCTTGCATTATGATTATACAAATTCGAGATTGACACACTTTGATAGAATTAAATATTCATCGGTTTTAGAATGATATCGATCGACATTTGTTCTCAACATTTACATCATAAGACGGCGGCATAATATAATAATATCTGATCAAATAAAACAGAGAAATATTATAATATACGAGTTTTTTTATATTTCTGCGAGCGTATAATACTTGTGTAACTCGGAGTTCAGCCTATTATGTTTGGTACGCTGCATGATTGTTTATAGTATACTTAATGCATAATATTACGTTATCTCGAGGAATTGAGAATACCTTGTGACATCGGACATTGGTGCTGTGTTATTAAACACACTTATCAGACCGAAACACAAACCTACGCAATGAGCGTCCAACTAGTGAGTTTTAAGATTTCAACTATCATAATAATATGAATAATAAAGTACCTACCTGTTTAAGTTACCAACTGCAGTTCCTTGTATTATTTTTAATGAGTGTGCTGGAACCTAAAGTAAATACCTGCAGACTACCCATATGTATTATTTCTTTAACTTGAAGAAATATTGACACATTCAAACGTCGTGTCTAAAAATACGTAACTATCTAAAATATGACGTAGGTATTATAAATAAAAAAAAAACTGTTGTGAATATGAATAATTTACATTTGAATCATTACCTATAACTATAAATAGCCTATTTTAGATCCAATTATAACTACTAATCACAAAAGGTATCATTTAAAAAATATATGTAATTAAGAAGATTCCATATCGTAATTTTCTGTTTTTGTCTAACACACGCGTGACATAGGATTTTAGACGGATTCTTTGCCAAACGTACCAATTGATATAATGAAGCGATAAGAATTCTAAAAACAGATTTGAATTTTTCATCAAGTCTTCTTGCAATCGACTTTCCCACAATTTTGATTTTTTGATTTTAGCTTCTCAAAAAATTAAAATACAAAAATGTTTAACTACTCTTTTTAATATGACGTTTTCTGGAATTTGGGGGATAATATCGAAAATGTGGGGAAATTGATTTCAAGTAGACTCAATGACGAATTCAAGTCTGTTTTCAAAATTCCTTTCGCTTAATTAGATCAATTGGTATGTTTGGCAAAAAACACGTCTAAAGTACTATGTTGCGCGTGTGTTAACAAAGACAGAAAATCACCGGGTGGAATCCCATTAATAAAAATATGAATGCTGGGCCATTGTGTTTTCTCCTTTTTCGAATGAAAAATATATAGTTAGGCACATACATTTAGTAACGGGAAATCGCAGTAATGATTATATAATAGCCAACACTATATAATAGCCATGCGCCCATAATAAATAACAATAATGATATAAAAAACGTTGTTGCATTGCTAAAAGAAGTCATAGCAGCGGAGATACTTTTAAGATTTTTGTAGACATTTAGATTATCTACTAAATATTTAACAACAATAATTTCAAAATGTCGAAATATGTTCACTTTATCTTGTCACTTATTGTATAATTATATAAATTTATAATTATTTATACACCTTGTGTGTGGTACAGGCGTTCATTAATCATGACCGCGAAATTTTATAATCTTCACCGAACCATGGAAGTTATACAATTAATGTATGTCGAAATATGTATGTGGTTTTAAGTTGACTATATCACATGATACAATGATAGTCAGTGAAAAATAATAAAATATTTATAATAACATTATATTTTTTAAACAATTAATAATTATTATTTGATTGAATTCGATTGTAATTTCTAATTACGCATTTTTTTTAATGTTTTCGTTAAACATTAGATATTTAAAGGTCACAATAGGGTCGATGTTTTTTTTTAGGCATACTTAATGTAGTTATTAATTTACAATAAATAATAATGTAAACATATCAAATTAATAACATATAATTATAATAAAATTATATAATATTAATAATCTATCTAATCACAATTAATATTGATAGGTATTTTAATATATTTTGAATTAAGTAATATTTTTATTTGATTGTTATAAAGAACTTGGTTTATAATTAATTGATTTAGTACTCGATTAAAATTTAAAAGCAACAGTTTATATTTTATAATTTCATTTTGTATTTTTACCTACTGACATTGGTACACCGTTCATATTATGTTACTTTTTTTTCGTAATGACTAATTATAATGTTTGTTAACAAGTGCTGGGGAACTAAAAAGTGAACTTTAACAAAATTATATTTAAGAAAAATTAAACTATTTACTAGGTACTTACATTGATAAAAACGTCAAAAATATTTTTCGTGAATAAAGTGTTTGAGTGGTATCTATATAATTAGTTAAAATTTAGTTATTCTCCACTATATAACTAAAAAATATCGAAAATCTGATAACAAAAATCGATTTCGCTCATGATCGTTTGGATATAATATAACGCAATGACGCGACGAAGGTAATAATACATTAACATTTGATATAGGTAGGAAATAAGTTATATAAACAATAAACATGTGGTATATTGGTATTATGGTACCAATAACTCCTAAAGGCTAAGGTTAATATAATTTATATTTAATTATTTGAATAGAAAACCTGTTATTGTTAATAAAGTAAGACGAAAATTGTATTGGCTAACTTTTTATCATTTTGTAGGATCGACGTATATAAAAAATAATCTACCTAACCTAAAAAAAATTTAATACCTATTTAAAAATCTACATAACTTCCCAAAATCAAAAATTAAAACCACTAGTTTCAGAATAGTTCGTCTCGTAGTTAAATTAGAATTACATTAACATTTGAATTAATGATATGTTTATACAATTTAAAATAAATTTAGAAATGTAATTTAAATTTGTTTCAGGTCGACTAGCGGTCATCATATTTGGCGTTGTAGCTTTACTAGCTGGACTAATACTGTCTTCAGTTCCATGGGTTCATTATATAATTTTAAAGGTAATTTTCACAATAGCAATCATATAAGAATATTAGAAAAAACACTACAGGTGCTTCTAACACAATAAAAATAATTAATAATTAAACAATTGAAATCGCAGAGAATGTTCAAATTCAAATATTTGTTCATTACGAAGATCACATAACAATAAATTCTAATTACCAATATAAATGTGCAAAGAAAAAATACGCACTGAACTTTCTATTCAAAAATGATACTTTAAATACATATCACCGCACGTTGATAATAATATAATCTGATATTTGCATAATGCTTAGTGTATATTCATAGTGCATAGGATTACGAGGATATGACAATTGAAAAGTGTCATATGAAATATCACAGTTATCGATGAGAGCTATTAATTTGATGCTAATTATAGCATATACATTATATAATTTTCTTGATACAGCACATTAAGAATACATCTAATGTCCAAAACCATTGTCCATGACACAATATACGTATTAAATCACATAGGTGTATATAATAATTTTCAAAATTCATTGTAAAATACGGTCAAAATAAACGTTGAACTCTTATTCATTTTTAATTAGTTATCGAATACTATTTGATTTAAAAAGATCAGTTATTTATTATTTTGGTTTCGGTTAGGTGTTTATGAATCTTTGAAAAAAAGTTAGTAAAATCAATGATTTTATTGGACTCTTACTTCATTTACTTCAATTAACACCTTTATTATTGTATTATAGTATTATACAATAGAAAATTATAAATAAGTTCACAAATTATAGTTTAAATATATAAATATTCTACTGATAGATGGACTGGTAGACTATTATACCTAGGTATGTACATTTTTAATTTTAAAACATCTATAAAAAAAAAGTATACTTGTTCTAATTGTAAATATTGAAAGAAATATACGGATCTATTTAAAACATAAAATGTATTTTTCTTGTCAATCAGTTTATTTTCACGATTTAATCATCATCACAATATTAAAATGTTGAATATTTAATTCCTCTTGTTCAATTATACTAATTTATAATAATTATATTATAGAACTTGAAAATATGGAATGGCACTTTAAGTTATCACTACTGGCAAAAACCCGGCGTATTAAGACTGACAAAAGTATTCATATTCAATGTCACCAATCCCGATGGCTTCTTATATAACGGTGAGAAGCCAAAACTTCAAGAAATTGGTCCATTTGTTTATAGGTAAGTTTTTATCTATTTTTTAAGATAAACTAAACATTTTGTTTGTTTGAGCTATTTTAAATATGAAAATTATTATTTTTATTATTGATAAAAATATTTAGCTAATTAAATTAAAACTATGTCATAAACTAAATGATACAGAAATTATATAGATAAAAATTACCAATTTTAAATTGATAAGTGAATAACATAACTATAATAAATTATTAATCAAGTACCTAATTAAGGAAAAAAAATGATTTAAATTTTTTAGTTGTGTAAAATATAGTAAGAATAACTACTTACTTTATACTACACGAAATTAATTGGTTTGCATATTCGTATTGTGTTCTTTACAATATTTATTATTTTAAAATTACGACTTTACGAGTTACCTATTAATTCATTAAGTGATGGTATTGAGTTAAATACTTTGTAGGTAGATAGTAGTTATGCTATAATATATACTATGATTTCCCATGGGCTATGTTAATTTAACTAAACTGTTTTAGTAGGTATCTCTGTCTACTTGTAGAAAATATTATAGGTAGGTATCCTTATAGTTACTATATCTTGAAATAAATCCAAGAGTTTTTAGAACAATTTTTTTCCGTTTAATAAAACGAAATATATTTATAATAACTTTCACATTAAGAATAAATTAATAACCATATCAACGCACAAAAATTATAAACCTACAAGTAATTCAAACCCCATACCCCAGGCCATATTTCTTCAAATATTTCAAACTTAAAATAATCATATTCAAGTATGGTAAATGGGTACCTTCTGTCAAGATAAGCTATGTTCAGTGCAATACAACGTGATATACTATATTATTTTGATCGAACGTTAGATTCACTACGTCTAAACTTTATTTCGTATTCGTTAATTTTTGAATTATATTATTTTGATTATCCCAAAATGATTATATCAATAAGTAATAACTGTACAACAAATTTTAAAAACATGGACTTATCTATTATATTATCTAGGTAAAAGTGTTATTTATTTATCTTTACATACCTATCTATTAATTTTAGATTAATTTAAATAAAGATAGGTACAATTATTATTTTTGTTATTTGAGTTCAACAGTCTACACTGATTTTTACAGTTAAATACTTCTGATAATTTAATACATATAATTAAATGTGTTTTAATGCACATTGGTTAGTCAAGAGTTATAACTATGTAATATTTTGATATATAACATAAACTTATACATATTTTAACGTTTCGTAGGTACATCTTACATGCATTTTAAGTATAGGTAATAGTAATGTTAAATGTTAATATTTATCAATAACTCTAAATTATTTTGAAACTAAAGTCATATATAGAAGATATATTGGATACATCCATACTCAAGAATCTATACCTAATCAACATTATAAGTTTTAACGAATCTTTTAATATCCAATAGTTAGTACTTAGTGTAGATAGGTAGTTAAGATCAACATCGGTTTTTAAAAATTTTATGTCAGTAAATATTTAGTTTACGTTTTTATAGTTATACTTCAAAATTGTTAAGTACCTAACAATAATACAAAGTACGTACGTTCACTTTGCCTACTATAGAAACCTTGCTAGAAATTATCAATGGAGAAAATTAAAAAAATAAATATCCACATAGTGGTTTTTTCGAAACTTCTAAGACCTAATTACACAATAAATTAAACACTATAATTGTTATTACCTACTATTGGTCTTGAAGTTAATATTATTCATAATAAATATTAAACGATCGATAACTTAATAATTACAAAATTCACCCGTATGGCCTACGACTCACTGTCTACAATATACGACACAAGTCGAATTAATTAGGTATACCTACCTACAATATATTTCACCCAAAAACTGTTGTCCGAGAAAAACATGGTTTACAATGGTCTATGAGCTGACAATTATATACAAATCCAACCTACAAAAAATTTTCATAATAAATGTGGAATCCTTGAAATCTATCTCCTCGTGAATCTTCTATTTGCTAAAGATAACGTTTTGATATCATCTGTACGCCCTTGTGCTGAATTGCACAAATAACATAGTAGTCCTACAACAGGCCTTACACATTTGTATGAAACAAACCCTTTATACCTAAATATCAAATATAATATACGAAAAACGTGAAATTCGTAATATCGTGTTACATATGAACGTGCTGGGTTTTATTTGTCATTTATGTAGATATATTGTAAGTACGTAATAATATATTTACATAATACATTATATTATTATGCAGTTATATCATCATTCTATTATTCGTATACAATTTTACTCCTATGGGTAGACTATAGATTTTCATTAAGTAGTAGGTACATCTTTGAATTACCTTTGATATTATACTGTTGGAGATTGGTATAACCGAGTCTTAAATGTTCTGAAATCAAAAATCAAAATGCACCCATTCATTCTATTGTTGAAGCGTTTTTGTTTTGAAAAAATTAACATGAACATTACTTAATAATACATTTAATTATAAATTGTATTTAATATAGACGTAAACTGTATAGGTAGGTAGGTACACAAGTTAAATGAAAAATACTCTTTGATTCTATATGGTTTGTGTTTATCCTGCATTATAATTTACAATATAATATGCGAGTACCTACCTGAATAAAATAATATTATTTGCACCACTACAGAATGCAATATTATTGAAACTTTTAAATAGATCGCAAATTATATTAGTTGGATTATTTGTAAGTAAATAGTTCACGAACATTGCCATAACTTATTATTATATAGCTATTACCTATTTACATAATGTATGATAAGGCACCAATACATGTAATTTATACTAAGTAAAATGTCCATGAAATGTCATCCTAAAATAAAAAAATTAATATTAATTATTCGTAAGTATACATACCGTGATATAGTTTAGGTGGCAACAGTCTAAATTAACTACCTATTTTTTTAAGTCCTAGGTTGATTAAGTAAACTAATACGGAGTTAGTAATGGGATCCAAATTTAATAACTGTGTCCTATAAGAACACAAATTATTTAAAAAAAATAAATGTTTTTATAAATTTTAAACATTATAGGTACGTAATACTTTTACAGCTTAACATTGAATAAAAATGTAACAACAACAATTATCCATGCTGGTCATACTAAAGCCAATTATTTATTATTTCTCTAAAATCCACGAAACGGATTAATTTATTTAAAAATTGTAATTAATTATATTATTTTGTATTAGTTACAACCTCATAGAAAAAAATTTAAATGAAATTCGCATTAAAAAAAAAATATGTACACAATACGCGTAAGCATATTGTGTTTTAGATACCACTAATATCACAAAATGTATTGGTCACACGGTATAGGCTTTTCATTTATTTGAAATTCGATAACATAAATATGACCCTGGATGTAACTTCTTTAGTAAAAGTAAAATTGGAAAGACCCCACCACGTGTTGTAATAAAACTGCTTTATTTTTCTTGGGGAACTTCACGTATCACGTCTGCATAAGACGCTTACCGTCCTTGACCCGGGCCTCAGGAATTTAGTTGTTTTTAGTAATAATATATGTATTAGTACATCAATACCTAAGGGGATTGCAAATTAATATACACATATTATTATATATATTTATTAGTAATCAAATATTATAAATTTAAAAATAATAATTAAAATAAGGAATTTATTGCTAAAAGAGATGGTTATGAATAATATTCTATCTATTTAACCTAAATAGTAAATATATATATTTTGTTTGCAGTAAACATTATATTTGTTTTTATATAGTTTCTAATAACTATCATAGAGATTTTAATAATTTAATATTACAAATAGAATCATAAAGATCACTGTATCACTGTCTTAAATGTTTAAAACAAAAATTATACATTTAGGTAAGTAAAAATAAATGAAAATTAAATGTGTTCGACATTAACTTAAAATCTAAAATAACAATGACATCAATGATGATTAGCTAAAAATGGCAATGTGGAACGATGGATAGTATGAAGCAAGTGTCTGGGAGAAAGTGGTCAGAACCTTTCCTATACCTATAAGATTATTACACTACCTACCTACTGTAATGCTGTATGATCTAGATATAGTGCCATAGTGGCCGCAGAGGCTGTATAATGAATTAAACGTGACGTAATAAGGTCCATTCGTTAAGAGCGTTAACATTAAACTATATTTCAAATAAATTATCATTATTACGATGAGTATTATATTATTATTATCTAAATGTGTAAAATCAATATTTATTCTTATTATATAACATTATATGATTATTTAATTTCGGCCATCTGTGAAATTATTAGGAACCTTGTAATTTTATGATTGGTATATAGGTATAATGTTTAGTAATTAAGTTCCCTATTTTTGTGTAAATTTTGACACAATTTATGCTATGCAGAAATACATAATATATGTGTGTTATTATGTATTAAAAAAATGCTTAATATCATCGAATATTTGTTTTTTTTTTTTACTATTTTTAACATTCATTCCATAAGAATTTTTATCACCATGTTCACCCTCATCCTTTATTATAATTTGTTTGTAAAGTCTGACATTTAGGTTAGGTTCTATTATAGGAACCAATCCGACAGATTGTTGCAATACTTATCAATAGTATTTGAATACTATACATACTAAGATTCACTGCTTCAGTCCAGTTCCTGTATTTTCTAGAGACAAAGAGACAGAAATACCATTTTCCAATCGAATATTATTATTTTGTACTTCTAATTTCAAAATATTACCTTCAACACTTAAATTAGAATGATTAGAAGGTCATAAAATTGAATAAGTATGTATGTCCTTTCATCATTATGTCATTCGTAAAAATCACCCCAGGTAGTCTAGTATTGAGAATCTCTTACAAGTATTGACAATTCAAAACCGATTATAGCTTTCATAGTTTCATCAATGATACAAGTTTAGAAAATAAATTGACAATCTCAACATCTTTAAAGATCATGTTGTTAAATGACCGATTATAATACATAATATTTTCTTATAGTCATTCGTCCATAAGAAATCAATAGGCTTTATACAAATAACTTAATTAAAACGTAACAAACGCTTGGATATTGTTTGAAAAAATGGTTGGAAAATAATTAGTAGAAATAATAAAAATATTATTAAAACTATTCAAGTAGTATATGTTAAGGATAAATCTATATACATAAAAGATAAAGGGCAACAAAGTATAACATAATGAAAAATCTCAAAATCATAAATAAATGTACCAATACTCCGGATTCAATAGTTTTTATTTATAACTCTCAGTACAGTAGGTACCATATTATAGTTCATGTAATTATTACTCATACCTATATAATTATTGATAACTACATAACACTCAAAATTAAATAGGAACGCTGTTCAATATACTTGATAATTGTGTTAAATTTTAGCAATACTACTATTATACAATTGAAAATAATTATGTTTAATCGATTTCAGAGAAAACATGGAAAAAGTTAACATTCGTTTTAATAACAACGGTACGGTGACGTACCAACACAAAAAAATTTTAGAATTCATGCCACATCTTTCAGTTATCAAAAATGATGAAATCAAACTAACTGTGCCAAATATTCCCTTATTAGTAAGACTTTGACAGTTTGTAAATGTAATTAATTTAATATTCACAAATAATTATTTTATAATTTTAGACATTGACTACACAAGCAAATAGTTTACCATCAATATTAAAAAGTTCACTTTCGGCAATTTTAAGGTTTTCTAGTTTAACACCGTTTAAACATGTTACCCCCCAACAATTAGTTTTTGGTTATGACGATCCATTAACTTCTCTAGCAAACTCATATTATCCAAAAGGGAAAAGACCACCCAAACAAATGGGACTTTTCTTAATGGTATGTTTGTAATTCATTTTGTTTCTATTTATTTATTTTGAAGACTGAAAAATATTATAATAATTATATGAATACAATTTTAGCGAAACGGCACACTAGACGAAGTTTCCACGATATATACGGGTCATAATGGAATGGAGAACTTTGGACTTCTCGATCGTGTAAATGGAATGGAAGAGTTACCGTTTTGGAAAGGATCTTGTAATTCTATTAAAGCATCTGAAGGTGAATATACAATACATACAATATTTGAATTCTGTAAATTAGAATTTAAAAAAAATATATAGATGTATAATGTACCTATATTTATGTCGTGATAATTGATAACAGATAAAGTTGATTTTTAGCTACTAGTTGATACGTAGATGGTTGAGTACTGTACAAGTAATGTTGGGATATAGACGATATAGTTAAAACTTAAAATCGATTTATCAAGATAATAATATAACTTAGAATTAAGATAATGAATAGTCAAAAGGAATGCATAATATTTACTCATATTAATAAACGCTGGGTACACTACAATAAAAAATACTATTGAGGATTGAGCACGATTGTATCTATTCAACATACTAATATATTATTATTGAGCTCTATAAACATATCTCAAACAATTAACTGATAATAGTAAGGAGAAAAGATTGAGCTAGAAATCATACTATGTAATGTAGTTGTCAAATTATCATATTATATACATTATACATATTTCATTGTTTCATACATAAAAAAAAAACGGAAATCGTTATAATTTTTTTAGATTTGTATTTATTGCTTTTAACTGTTAATGTATACTTAAGTTTCATTAGATTTGAAAATAATATTATGTATAACCGTGCGTACGGGATAGTGACAGAGGGGCGGAAGGTTATTGACTAAGTATCTATACTCTGTGAATTTTTTTTCAACTGTTCATGATTTTAATATGAGTAATATAACATAAGGTGTTATAATCTAGGTATATTGTAATAATATATAACTATTCATAAATTAACCGTTAAATTATAATTTTGAAAAAACATCAGTTTTAAATTTTATTATAATTTATCTTTTATTTATTTATAATATGATATATTATCTTTGGTCAAAATTCATAATTATAATTTGTCAACAATATTAAAGATTATTATTATTTATTTATTTTTTTATTTGATCTTACGCCCGGCAACTATGGCCATTAGCTGTTTTTGGTTTTTGTAGGTTTTTATGTTGGTAGGGGGAGGAACACGTGTGTGTTTTGTTTGGCAGAATTTTTGATTGGGCACCCGTAGGCATGCCCAGGTGGGGGATGGTGGCATTTGTTCTCCGAACACCGTGACTTGCCCGAAGAAAAATGCCACCCATGACCGAGGTATCGAGCCAGCGTCGGGTGCGTTGCAGCCGACACCTTAAACCGCTCGGCCACTCCGTCCCCCACTATTTTTATTTTTATGTGATATACTGTATAGAGATCTTGTGATAATCATTTATCTTATATGTGATTAATATTATGTGCGTTTGACGGTAAGAGTGGTTAATTAATCTTATCCCATCATCTCCTCAGTCATCCTAAACCCTCGGATAATACCTACTACATACTAATAAGTTTTAACGTGAATACTTAGGAACATAATCTATGAGTAACTATGACCATTCTGTCGATGATGTCTGGCAGCGATTTCAAACTAAGACATTTAGTATGTTTGGTTTTTAAAATTCAATTGGAGGTTCGAATCAAACTCAATTCAACTTTCATATTTTATAATGTGTTTTTAATTTAACTCGTTGCAATATTATTGCTAAATGTATTTTTTTTAATTTCTCATACATTTACTTACCATAGTATAAAACAGTAATTTTAGTTAGTCACTATGTGACGTTTCAGTCCTTTTTTAATAGGCCTTTAATCTGTTTTTCGAGTAACACATTTACATAAGTTTTCAGTAATTCATCATCATAAAAATCTATGAAAATGTCATGTATTTAATATTTATGCGTCTAAAACTAGACTATGTACTTATTAAAACTGACATGACCCACCACAATGTTTAATAATATAAGTAAAAATTAATTATTTTAGCAACATTCCATTACCTACTTATCATTTTTTTAAATTTTTTTTTTTTAAATAGAAATATTTATCATCTGTATTTTATGTACAATATGCAAATTTGTTAAAGAAATCACAAGACACGATCACGCGATTGAAGGACTTCTTCAAATATAATTTTTTTTAATTAAATGGAGATCACCAGTCCGATTTCCTTTGAGACAACGATGAGGAGGATTGTCTGGTAATCGTAATGCGTTACCACATCGTGAAATGAACATGATTTGAAATAAGAGGGTTTGAGTGATTGAGGACGTTTTTATGAAATTTCTTTGTAGGTAGTACCTAGATGTGTTGAGTTAAAAATTTACGTACCTGTGCCAAAATGATGAGTTTGTTTATAATTTGGATATAACACCAATTATCATCAATAAAATATATTTACTCAGCTTAATGTTTGGGGATAGAATGATAGATACTAAGATATTATCATTGTTTTAGTTTTAAAATGAAAAAACATCATTGAATAATATTATTTTTATGTCTACAAAAAAGTTTAATTATTTTATTCTAGGTTCATTTTTCCCTCCAAGAGAATTTACTAAGTCTGATTTAGTACACGTGTATGACAAAGATTTATGCCGAGTATGGGCACTTCGGTACCGAAAAGATGTAGTTAAAGACGGTATTAAAGCAGGATACTATACGCCTGATGACAACCTTCTCGAAACTGTTGATAAAAATCCTGATAATGCATGTTTCTGCGAAGACAACACTGACTGCACAGTCAAAGGGTTACAGTACATTGGGCCTTGTCAATTTAGTAAGTGAACCCGTATAGAATATTACTTATTTGATAAATAAAAGCTCAAAATAGTAATTTTAATAAATCATATAGAAAATTGTAAGTACATAGTTTGATTGTTGATATTAACAGATGCTCCAGTTTACTTATCTTTTCCTCATTTCTACAAAGCTGATCCAAAACTTTTGGAAGATGTAGAGGGTCTTTCACCAGATCAAGAAAAACATGAAACCTTTTTAAAAATTCAACCCGTAAGTTCCATAATATTTTTATGAATTAAAATTATATTAACTACCTATTCCGTCTACATATTATAAATATTTTGTTTTTAATATAAATTAATTTTGATACCTTATAACATTGTATGGAAATAAAAATGCTTTTTTAACATTTTAAATTTATACTTTGTTAAACAAAAACTTAAGAAAAACATATAGTACAGAGTACCTAGTGGTAATAATATTATTCTTGGTTAATTCCAGGGCTAATAACCTAGTTGATTCCACTCCTCCAAAAAAAAGTTCTTAGTTAAGTCTGAAAATTGAAATTAAGTTCAGTATCAATTGGTAAACTCCAAATAAAAATATGTCTAAACCAGGGGTTTCTAATTTTTTTATGGTGGGCTAAATCTGTGATACGCTTTGGCATCGTGGGCCGAATTTTTTATAGAGTGGGACAGAGAGGTAAAAAAATTAAAGATATATAAAAATTATTTTTAGTAATTGATAAATTAAAAACAATAAAATCTAGTAGAATATTTTCAAAACATCAATTAAGCCGTAGGTTGGAGATGGTCTAAACACTCTGAACTATTTAAATATTTACATAATAAATTCAATATTTTTGAAATAATAATCGTATAAAAGTTCGATCCGGTTTCAAATTAAAAATGAACAAATTAATTAATCATTATCTATTTAGGAATATGTTTAACAGCGTCTGGTATTCGATATAAATTTATCATGAATAATTATAATATATAACGTTACATCATATTATTATGGTTTATAGAGACTGGGAGTACCGTTAGAAGCCCGTGTGAAGGTCCAGCTCAATTTAAAAGTCGAACAATCCAATATTTACCCGACGTCCAACTTCAGAAGCATTACATTTCCAATTATGTGGCTTGAAGAGGTAAACTAAAATAATAAATTAATATTCGAAAATTCCCTTTCAGCGCCTATAGATAAACCTATAGGTACGCGTGTTTGGTTATGATAATATTTTATAGTACAATAATAATTCCATCGATTGTTATTAGGGCGTGAGCGACTTGCCGGAAAACATTCATCGCTGGATATACATGGCCACTACATTCGTAGACACGGCTGTGCCGTTGTTCACATACGGACTTATCCTCGGCGGTGCATTAGTGCTGGTCGCAGTGTTTGTCCGCACATATCACCAAATTGTATTTTCACGGGAAAACATCGAACGTGGCAGACGAAGCATTCTGCGAAGGGGCAGCAGTATGCTGGTCAACGGCCAACATCGGTTACTGATTGTCCGTGAATCTTACCATCGGATAAGCAACACCGTGCAGGAAACGGACGTGGACGCACAACAGCTTCTATCGTGAACTAAAGACTATATACTTATATTTTAACGTACCTATATAATGATTTTGAAATTTGGAAACCTCTACCATCACCTTTACGTTTTTCATACAAGAGACGCGAGTGATATGCTAATAAACTATTGTGTAGTCTAAACTGTGATATAGATAACGAAAAAGTGCACAAATGTTTAATTATGTTCATGTAGACATCAGAACAAACAAATTCTCAAATTGGACTGTGATACGAATTTTATAGATGAAGACATTTTTTTTTTATATAGTATAAAATAAGATAAACGAAAATAATCAAACATAATATTATATGCCTTGGTTTTGGGGCAGAATTAAATATTGAAAGTTTTTCAGCTCATATTTAAATTGAATTGAAATGAATCACAATTGAATAAAAATTTGGATAGAAATACTGTTGAGCTATATACCTAACAACCGTGATATAGTTATTTCATTTATTCATTGAAGAATAAACAAACTATTGATTTAAATTAAATCAATGAAACATTAAGGTGCTCTTATTTTATAATTCTGATTATATAATACTATATACCAATACGTTTTTATGAAATTAAATTAATTGTATGTTCAATCATAAAGTAAAGCCAAATATCTAAATATCTAATGATAAATAGACTTAATTATTAGTATCACAATAGTATTATGACTGGACAAAGAATTTAATGTTGATTACCAATTTAGTATAATATTAATATGTAAATAATTTAAATACATGATCTTTTGTTTCTGACAAATCTTAAAATTAATAGGGCATTTATTACTTAGTTTTTTCATTGTTGTTATTAATACATCTATTTATATTTAGAAAAATATATTTTTGATTATTTTCTACGTGCACACTCATTTGCTCAATCTAAAAATCAAACATCGGCAACAATTTCATCGTTACCATAATTTTATGTACATTCATTATTATGAAGAATGTATTATTATTAATTTAACATAAGATTCGACTTGTGTTTTTACTATTATTATTTATTCAAATAGAAAATATGTACAGTGTATAATAAATTAATTTCGTATTAATTTTAACTCATTTTTATGTCAAGAAAAATATGTATCAAATAATTTATAATTTGGGTAGGTGCATTGAGAACATTGATGGTATGACATGATGTCATGACCTATGAATAAATTAACTGTCAGAATTATTTTGCTATTCTAACGTTTTCGTCAGAATATAATATGTATATTATCCAAAAATATTTTTTACTGTATGAACATTTTTAATAAATCTTTTTTAAATAACTTGTGATTATTATTTATTACATAACTTAGTGCAAACTTAAATTCGTTAAGTATTATTTATAAATATCTAATGAAAAATAGTACAGATATGGAGGTACAGAGATTCTGGTTGGGCAGTCACGATTTGCTCACCTTAATACAAGAACCCTAGTCAGTGTCAAACTTTTAATTTTCAAAAATTACTTCTGACCAATTAAGCTTAGTCAATAGAATACATGTTCTAAGACATTTTTTTTAAAAATCATATATTATATCATAACAAAAAAAATGATCAACAAAGTACCTATGTTAACCTTTTCAGTGTTAAATTATTTTGTACCACTAGTTTGGCTATTATTTCGAAATCAAAAAAATTTATAAATAACATATTCTTATAAATCTTAACAAAAAAAACTTTTTAGTCTCAAACTTTTTACAGCATTTTTGATTCTTGATTTGAATTGAAAATTACTTAATAGGCAGTAGAAAAGAAATTTTTCACTAAATTATCTTAAGCAGAATATCTTCAATAAAATGAAGAAGAAACAAAAGTAAATTACAATTTTAAAAGATAACTTTTAGTTTTGAAAATATTAAAATTTACTCAAATGTCGTATTATGGTGAAGGACGTAGGTTCAATCTATTTTAATGTATACAACTTATACCGTCTACTATTGCTTTCTTTAAAAGTTAAATTTATATTCAATAATATTAAGTAAGTAACTGTACAATTATCAATTATAATTAGCATAATTTAGATATTGCAAAATAGATTGGTAGGTATTTACTATTTAGAGAATATAACTTCTTTGTAAAATATAAATCCTTAAATAATTTAAATAGTTTACACTTTACATACTGTATACCAGAGTGAGTGTGTAGTGTATTTATAAATAAAAATGCGTAGCAGTGTAATATTCATTCTGAAACCTGAAAAAGAAATCAAGAATTACGCTCACGTCAGCAAAATTGTAAATCAACTAAATCATATTTCAATAATTGTGTGTTCAGGAAACGAATATCAAAAATACTCAAAATAAACTATGTTATATTGTTATGATATTACAAATTATCTAATTTGTCAATTATACGATGTAAATCATTTAAATATATCATACAACATATTATTATAATTTATAAGACATCAATAACAGAATATGTGTTTAAAAAATAGGTTAAACAATACAAAATACTTATAATATATTACACAATGATGAATGATATAACCCTTATAAATGCAAAGGTGGGCAAGTTAATGAAAATAATTAAGTGTGGTAAGTCAAGTTAATTCAATTAAACTGACTTCAAGTTAACAAAAAAAAATTAACTAAGTTTAGAGTTAAGATAGATAATAAAATTAACTTAATTCAGTTAAAAAAAAGTGAATTTTTTTCCAAGTTATTATATTTTTAAGTCATAAACTGTTCTAATATTTTGTTATACACAAACATTTACCAAGACGTTTAACACTGTGTAAAAAATTAGATTGTTATAATTTATAGATAATTTGTAAATAAATGTTCAAAATCGAAAAAGAGTCAACAAATCAGTATTGTCTATTTGATTACACATGACACGAAAAGAAAATTAACTTAACTGCACGACCATGATAATTTACTATAAAAAGCTAAGTTACAACAATAACAATTTTAAAATTTTAACTGAATAAGTTAATAAGTTAAAAACAAAAATAATTAACTAGTTAAGTTAAAAAGTTAAAAAAAAATAACTTTTTAACAAGTTGCCCACCTTTGTATATAATATGTGCATAATAGAACTCGTACTTTTTTTATAATATCGAAAAATGAAATAATTAAAATGTTGATAAGCCTTCCTGAGCAACATACGTGCTTGGCTTTTGCCTAAAATATCATATGTTATCTATAGCTCAAAATACGTACCTATATATGTCTATATGATATAATATTTTGAACAATATTCATCAAACTTAAATACATTTTATTTGTGTACCACTGAATTAGTATTTTGACGATTGTACCTATGTTCTATATCTATATAGTTTATAGGTACGCGTACCTGTAATATTATTTTGTCAGGAAAAGTAAAGAGTGTGTAGTCTATTATTTGCAGTAGTGGCGGAGAAGTTCATTCAAAGCTATATTTAAAAATTATAAATTGTATACAATATAGTATCACCTGACGGCTGACATATTATCTTCACTTATTTACTAACTATGTTAATTAAATTGGGTAAGTATTTAGTATACTATGGATAAACTAAAAAAGTTACATTCAGACCTCGGATTGAATTGTTTTGCCACTGATTTATACGTACCTACCTATTGAGCTATTTATAAAATAAGGTCCTGGGTACCTAAACCTAATAACCATATAGATTCTGGTGTGATTAGGTGTGAGTGAACATCTTTGCTCAGGGAGTGTCCTTGATCGTGAATTCGCTAAGGTATAGGCACTTAATATTCAGGGCTCAGGGTGTCCATAACAGTTAATAGTCTTCTGATAAGGCAACGGCTTATTTTCAAGATTTTATTTGTGGAGAAGCTAGTTGAGAGGCTATGCCTATATCATCTATATTCCGCACAGATTATGTCTATATTAATATAGACATATCTGCCTATATTATGGATATATGCCATAATATGGCATAATATACAATGTATACACATTTATATAGGTGAAGTAGGTATATTTATATATATTAGTTTGTACTTGTATACCTACTGCAGCTAATAGGTTTGTATACGACTATTATCTACACAATATTTTGGTATACATAGTAGGTATATGTTGTATTTTTTTAAATGTTAAAAAGTTGTTTAAAGCTGATTTTGAGGGTCTAGTTATCAGTTATCACCTGTGTAAATCAGATCTGAGAGGGCAATAATTCAGTGATTGTTTGGTACCTATTTCCTGTACAAGTCAAAAAGAGAAAAGAAGTTATTTATGGGTGTCCAGTATTATAATTTATTAGCCACTACTGGTGTATAAATTGTATATTATCGAAAACATACCTCTGCCTCAAAGACGTTATCGTGTATTATAATCAGGGGTTAAAGTGGGGGGAGCGCAGGAGGACTCAGTCCCCCTACCTCTGACAGCGGTGAAAAAGCGTCTCCTCTAACAAATTAGAATTTTATACATTAGACATTATACATAAAATTATATATGGAACTCTTAAATCTATATGGGGACATTAGTCCACTCTGGAATTTTCTCCTCTTTAAACCCTGATTATAATCGATCCCCATTACTTAAATTGCGATACTATTTTGAACTGGGCCCAACAACAGGAGATGAAAATAAACTAAGTATATTTGAAAGAAAGGTCTTAAGAAAAATGTATGGTCCCGTGTATAACCCTGACACCCAAGTTTGGGAGAGAAGGTCAAATTAACAGATAAAGCAGCTATATGAGAAAGGAAGTATAACACAATTTCTGAAACGTACAAGATTGGAGTGGTCAGGCCCCGTCTGGAGAGCCGACAGCAGTAGGCGATACACAAGACGGTACTTGTAAATAATTTAAACAGAAAAAGACCGCGTGGTAGACCAAAGCAACGTTGGCTAGATACAGTCAAAAGAGATATGAAGGAGTTGAGACCAGATTGGAATGAAGACATGGACCATGCATATAATAGAGAAGAATGGAGTAATTTAATATTGACAGAAAAGGGCCTAAATGGCCTGTAACGCTTAAAAAAAAAAAAAAATTTTGAAAGTAGGCTCATCGGATAATTATCAGTATCTACATAGTTACGATTGTTGATATATTAAGATATTTATTTATTGTCCATAGTTACTACCAACTATGTATAATATAGTTACGAATAAGATTGTTTGTATTAAGATATTTAATTGTTGGTTTTAAGATAATTACTTATTGTATAAGTTTTTATTGTAGATTCATACTAGCCAAAATATATCAAATGGTAGGGTGACCAAATTCTGTTTAAATATTTTATTCGGAATTTAAGTTTATTGAGTTGTATTAAAATTTAAAATACGATTCAAAACCGGAAGTTAGCATACTCTCAAAGGGAGCTTTAGTAACATGTTTTTTTTGTTATAGACATTTTAAGTTCATATTTAGACAAAATTCGATATCTAAACGAAAAATAACGATTTTAGTTATTTTGTTGTTATTTAAAAAGTATTTACGATTTATTTGGGTATTTGAAGGTTCAAACATATTGTATAACGATTTATACGCACGGTGACTTTTTAGAATCTGATGTTTTCGGCAAAAATGTATTCAACCTACCGTATTAGCAGAACAAATATTTAGTATTAGAGTGAAATAAAATCAATTTAATAGCATTATAAATAATATATCATAAAATAATATGTTTTGATTTTGTAAAATCACAGACTATACATTACGAAATATATTTATTTATTCATATTATAGTCTGTGATACCTAATATAAGCTAACAGACCGTCTTCGAGCAGAATTGTTTTTCGTGTGCAATGATTTATCATTGAATCCAGATTTATCACTATATTACAGTGACTTACTAGTTACTCCTCAATGACGAGGTCACTCGACATCTACTGCAGTACAGCAGTGTGGTTGCCTATACTTCCCCCCTTTTTATTATATTTATTATTTTTTTTCAATTCTATGAAGAAAATGTATGCATTTACCTACGGGTTGCCTGTTTACCTCCCAATTTTTTTTTTCGTCACTCGAGTTAATTTTTATAATTCTTTTATGCTTTTACCAGCTACCGCAGGGTAACCTTTTGAACAATGATTCATTAATGAACTTTATATATTATTATAGTTAATAGTATTATGGGTATAAAAATCAGATTATACTGGCAGTCTCTAGCTTATAAGTTATAGGTACCTCATAATATATATAGGCACCTAATTTTATTTTAAACTTATATTTTTTTGCTTCTTAAAATGCTCTTACGAGCAGACAACTTCTCGTTTTTTTGGTATTAATAATATACCATAATTATGGTAACTACAATAAACTACCTACTAAACAAATTATATGTTCATTAATAGTTTTTAGTTTTATTATGATGATTATTGTTTTTTGGTTCTTGAAATACAAGCAGTTGCATGTAGGACTCTTGTATTCCTCTTCCAATTTTCTCATATTATATTATATTGAACTCAAGTTATTTTTTTTTTACTTTATTAATTATTAGTTATTTTACCGCAGACTGTATGTAGTCTCCGCTCTCCAGCTTATGGTTAGTGGCTAATTACTTGAACTTTTTCCACTTTTTAATCTAAAATTGGAAATTGGAATTACCTATCAGCTATCGGTGCTCCGGACCTCTTTCCATTTAGTATAAGTGCTACAGGAGTGGCAAACATATGGCAAGCGTGCCAAAAGTTAACCAAATTTTCATGGCACGCAAAAATATTTTTAATTCATTGTTTAATCTTGCGTAAAGTAAAAAAAAAATTGTTTATTATTTCTAAAAATAAATTTATAAATTATAGAGTTTATTCACTGCTTTCAGATTAATACTTCGTGCCTATTTTGAAAAAAAAATGCTCATTAAAACAAACTAAATAGGTACACTCAATATTCGAGTCAACATAAATAATACGTGAATGGATATTTTCCACAATTAATTATTTCAAATTAAAACATAGGAATCATAAATTGTTGAATGAAGTGTTTGTGTTTCATTAACATTTAAGACTAATAAAAAACACAACATTTCAGTGAACTTTTTTCAGATCCTTATCACCTTGAAAAAAAATTGTATTTTGAACATACAATATACTAGAACGTGGATTTTTTTTTTAATACTTTGATTACTTACAAAATATTGGCATGTGCCCCAAAAATAAATAAATACATTTTTTCAATAACACTATATCTATATGTATACATTATTTTACTAAGACATTTTATTAGAACAATAATAATTATGGCTACAATAATAATTTTACACTGCAAATAAAAATAACATTTCACTAGCTATATAATATAACAATACATAAATTATATCTTAGACAGCTAAATGAAAATAAATTTAGATAATTATTTGTATAATTGTATTATTATAATTTATAATGGGTTATTATAAATAACATAAAACTGTTTTACGGCAATTAATATAATATAATTAACTCGGTACATACCTAACTATTTCGTCAACCATATACACATCGCGAGTTATTGTTTCCATATTTACTCGAATACATTAACAATAATAATAATATAAACAATAGTATTTTAATTTAAATAACATAATGTATTATATTTGTATTAATTGTTCAATAATAAATTATATTTAAATTTCGAGCAAATAAACGTTGCAGCGGACCACATGCCGCGGTCCGAGCGTTACGATCATGTGCTCAGTGAGGAATTCGACGACTACGAAGACCGGAGACGGTGTCCCTCGTTCCGATCGACGCTGCGTCACGGGTCCCGGGCTCGTTGCCCCCCGGTGCGTTCAACGCTTACCAAAGCAGAAGTGTGTCTGATCGTGTTGATTGCGGCCGGAGTCCTGTGGTTGGTCTACGACCCGGGGTACGATATCACCATAAACGGTGGTAGACTGAATTCTGAGTGTGCACCTAAGGCAAAGAATCTAAAAAAATTGCAAAAACCGCCACTGCTAAAGAGACTGTGGCGCTTGGTCAGGCCGTCAACCTCGATGAGTTGCAGAAAAATTTGCAAAAAAAACGTCGACGCTCATGATAATCATTAACGGAAATACGCACATCAATAATTCATAGTATATATCTAAATGTTATGATTTTTAAATAAATAAATATAAAATAATAACAAATATATACACAAGTGTTATCTTCTAAATGTATTACATAAAATAGCTCGTTACCTATACTATTGCCTGTTGGTTGAAGGTTCAGTTTTGGAGTTTCGTGTCACGTTTCTTCTTTCTATTCAAATTATATTCAAAGATTTAAATGGAATTGAAAAAAGTCAAGTGACGTCATGGCTGGGCTCACCAAAATTGTAAAATGAATTAAAAATTACTCGCTTCACGACATAATTTACCTTGGTACCTTAAACGTATATTTTGTAATTTTCGCTATAATTTTGTATGGGTAGTTTTGCATTTAAGGCGATAATAGAACCAGAATTGTAATATAGTATTATAGTGGTTACTGGTTATAGTTATTTAAAAAAATTAAGAATCCTAAAAAAATAATTTTCTTTATGCATCAGGCTCACTCCCCAAGTCCTCCACTACCACAAATCACAATACCTATTATACCTAATGGGTATCGCTTTTACCATTTTTAATGTTTAAAAGAAACTAAACACTGACACAGTGTATTAAAATTCCGATTCTTTTATCATCTGTAAGGTTACCTTACGGTCGGACACTAAAAGGGTACCGACCACCACGGATCCGAGACTGGTTAGGTCGGAGAAACGTGGATTTTGAAACATACACACATTATAATTTGAACCATAGATTTTCAATTTATTACACATTTTCTTAATTATTAGCATAGGCATCACCTGAAATTTGTGCATGTGTAGTACATAATATAAATTACCCGACACCCGTAGGGTCACCACCACGTTGGCCTGGTCGCAGCCGCTGTTGTTGTTCCTAGTGTTGTTGCATGGTTGTCCTCCCTCGGACCTCCGGGCGACAGTCCTGGCCGATTCAATTGTTCTACTCCATGGCTGGGGACATTGTACACTTGGTCGGAGACTGCGTTCCGCCGATGACCACTGTCGGGAAGTGTTACGGAGAATGAATACTTTTCGGCAGCAACGCAGTGGTGGCGGCCTTTCAGGTGTATATCGATGTAATCTTGATACGATATAAAACTTGTTTCGATTTTGTTGTATGCGTGTGCGATCGGGCTTGGGTTCGCCTTATCTCTCCGGACTTTATCCCGATATTGTGACATTTTGGTATACTTATATACGACCCATAAACCTGTAGCGACCTCGGTTAGTACCACGGGGATAATTCTGTCACGTTACACATCTTTAGCACAATAATCCGAATATTCATAAATGAATCAAATATCAAAAATATAAATTGTATATGATTATTATTCTGTTCTAGGTCACTTTGTACAGTCGAACATTAAATACGGTGACACTTTGTACTGCCAGGTAAAACTTAAGATTTCAGAACTCGGACACATTGTATATTTGTACTATTATTATATACATTATAAAGTATAGGTTAACGTATAAAATAAAAATAAAAATGTCTGAATAGTCACTAGTTATAAATTAAATTTTTTATTATAATTAATATAGGCTTAAATACCATTTGGTGTATCTAATTAATAATTTGGTAATATTTTACCATTTGGTACCAAGTAATTTTTGGTTTTTAGTTGTTACTCAACCTGTACCTACATTTAAAAAAAGGTGGGCAAGTGGGTGTCGCTCTGCTGTACAGTAGGTTACAAGTGGGTCACTGTATAATGGATGGTATTAAATTTGAATTCAATGATATAATATCATTGTATAAGAAAAACGATTCTGAGCGGTGACGGTATGTCAGTCTATGTATAAGACATATTATATACATATCTATGGTATTAAACAAAAAATTGACCTATAATAGGTACCTATAATAAATTCCAAATTAATCATATCACAATATCCATTAGATACTTATAACACGTTATACATCAACAAAAACCGTGATACTATCATAGATATATAATAGTACACTTTAGAAGTTTCAAGTACCCACGAATAATATTATTCAATCACAACAAAATAACTAAAATAGTTATTCTAGGATTTTTAATATGTAATTTCGTCCAAATTTGAATTTAAAATGTCTGTAAAAAATAAGTGTGTTTATATATTTTTTAGATTTTTTGGTTACAGTATGAATTATTTAAGAGAATCTTTGTTTTAAATTTTCAACTCTTAGTTATAAAAACTGAACATTTTATAATTTTTTAATTCCAACGATTGATAATTTTCGAGATTTTGATAAATTTTGTCAAAATTCCAACTTTAAATGCTTATAAAAAAAAATCGTGCCTATGTATTTTTAATATTTTTCAACTGATATTGTAACAATATATCAGGAGCCTTGTATTAAATTTTTACACTTTTTGGCCCAACAGATAAAACTTTATTGATATTTATAGAAAAAAAAACTAAAAAAAATTGAAAGCTGTAAATGTCCATAAACAGCTCAAAAAGAGTCAAAATATTTTCAAAATTGTATGGTGTATAGGAAATGCTAATATAAACATTCAGTGAAATTTTCATGTATCTACAGTTATTCGTTTTTGAATTACAACAAAATAAGGAAATCGCTACATGAGAAATCGAGTGAAAATCCAATGTTGTAAAAATTTGAATTTCAAACGCTCATAAAAATTTAATTTGACTGTCCGGTAGAGATTTTTTTATTGATAAAGGTAGATAATCTTATAAGGAATCTTGTGTTTCATTTTCAAATCTTAGATTTAAAAAGAAAAATTTTTACGAATTCTTAACTCAAAATAATTTGCTAATTTTCGTGATTTTTCCATATTTTGTCAATTTTTGAACTTTAAATGCTTATAAAAAAAAATTGTGACTAAGGATTTTTAATATTTTTCATCTGCCTTTGAAACAACATATTAGGAGCCTTCTATTAAATTTTCAAGCTTTCGCAACCAACAAATAAAATTTTATTGATATTTCTAGAAAAAAAACTAAAAAAAAATGAAAAATGAAAATGTCCCTAAACAGTTCAAAATAAATCAAAATATTTTGAAAATGTTATCGTGTATAGAAAATGCAAATATAAACAACCAGTGAAAATTTCATGTATCTACGGTCATTTGTTTTAAAGCTACACCAATAACCAAATTCGATTTTTTGGAAAATCGATTTTGCGTAAAAATTCCCGTTTTTCCTTAATTTTTATGTTGTTTTTTCCCGGCGCTTGTGAAAACTACTGGAAAATGTTTATCTTTGACCCCCCAAAGTACCAACTAGATTCACTTTCCTATCAGAAAAGGTACTATTAAAGAAAATCGAAGCACTTTTACTGTCCCAAAACGTGATGACAGACACAAAAATATAAATAAAAATATAAATAAAAATATAAATAAAAATATAAAAATATAAAAACATACATCATTGTAAAACCAATACATTCATCGCTCCGCTCAGAATCTAAAACTTTAATAATTTTTACTTATTATTTATACTATAACCATTTTTCATTGACTTTTTAATATAACTTTTTATAATATTAATACAATAATATATTATAGCATCAATAGCAATGTTTGATTGTTACCAGCTAAATTGTAAATTTAAAACTTGAGTACCTATGTACCTATTTTTTTTTTTTATGATTATTTATACCTATAACAAATAAATACTAATTAAATGAGAATATTATTTCTTTTTTTGGATTGAACGTCCACGTAGAAGACTTGAAATTGTGCAGTCCTGTAAAACTTTTCTTTCTTTTAGTAAAAAGTATTTTTTGGTTGAAAATTTTTTTTTTTTTTTTTTATTGGATAACCCGTGGCAACATAGGCCATTGGGTGTGGGGATGGAACTGTGAGTTTTATATTGGGTAGGTTGGTACACTTGTGTGTTGTGTTGAGGCAGAATTTCTAATGAGGCACCCGTGGCTGGTTTCTGCTATGCCCCGGGTGGGGACACCGTGACATGCCCGAAGAAATAAAATGCCTCCCGTGGCCGGAATCGAACCCGGGTCGGCTGCGTCGCAGCCGACGCCTTGGCCGCTCGGCCACTCCATCCCCAGGTTCAAAATTTGTTTAAGATAAAAAAAATGTACGCTAATTGACAAATTGTATAGGTGTATTATTTTGAATTTTTAAGAAATTATCATTTTCAGCTTTAGTAATAACTAATAGGCAATATCATTGATCGAAATAGTACACGGATAAGCAATTATAATATTTATTTTATTTTTTATTTTTATATTATATTCTTCAAGAAGATAATAGGCCCCGCTGAACATGTTCGTGTGGGGGCCCATGCAAAGAAATAGTGACTTGTTATCGTTATCATAACGATGACACACGCAAACGAAATATTCAAATATTCATAACGACGTTATGTATATTTTATGCATTTTAACATTTACTAAAAACAGTAAAAACGTAACCTACTATTTTAAAATGCTCATAACTTGTTATAAAATTAAAACGGTACCTACTAGTGCCAATAACCGATAGCCGGATAGGTACAATGAGTAATGTGTTGCGTATTGTGTTAACAATAGTACAATTTATACTATGTACTTGTACTATTATATAGGCATACCTACTCCTTACAGTTATATTCGTAAATTGTACCAACACTTATAAGGATTGTTGAATAGGTACATCAATCATGTAATTATAGGTAAAGATTTTTTCTTTATGTTGTTCATTTTTTATTATTTATATTTGATGAATGCGTTTTACGTCATTTATATTATCTTCCTATGTCTATGACGTGTAAATAATGAATTTATTCAACATGAAAATTATACTTATAGTAAATTATAATTACCTTATAGTACATACTACCTACCTAGGTATTTAAATATTACAACCATAGACATTCTAACAAACTAGAACGTCTACGATATCATAAGTTATAATTTATAAATACATAGTAAATATTTGCTAATTATATTAGGTATATTGTAAACTGCAAAAAGATGGGCATATAACCTATACTAGCTAGGTCCTAGGTGAAAAGGAACATATTATAGCCTATAAGTATAGATATGCTCATACCTATATATTTAACGTAGGTAGTATTTAAAATATTGAATAAATATATATAAATTAGTATTTAAGTTAGTATGTACATAGGTTATAGGTATAGATGATAGAAATGTTGTCAGAAAAATACAAATCCGCTAAATCATAATACATTTTAATACCTATAGACTATAATCCATATTATAATATTATAGGTACTCATAAAGTAGCAGACAACAGTCATAATATAATATTATATTATACAAACGCGGATTACACGTTAAAATGTTAAATAGGTAGGTACCTACGCCCTTATAGCTACATTAGGTACCTACACAATTTTTAATTTTTAACTGGCAAGATAATATTTTATTTGATAGGTAGGTACTTTAAAATCTTTTTAACGATCAAATTATATTAATTGGGTGGGGGGGGGGGGGTGACAAACTTTACGGTCTAGCATATTTAAATTAAAAGAGGAAATGATAAAACTTAAAAACAAACAGCAAGAATTCTAATCATCCGGATTAGGTCTGTGTCTTGTGCAGTAGTGTACTAGTGTCTGTGTTGGTTTGTTTTCCGTAAATAAAACAAAATATTTTCATTTGACAATAAGCCAATTGGCTAAACATAATATGTATAGTATAGAAAAAAATATAAAACATTGGTATTAAGTATACGTCATAATATCTAATGTAGTAACATTTCTTCGTAAGTTGGTATTCGGTCAATACGTCATTGCGTTAGGCGTATATTTACATGACAAACAAATGAATAATGATTATTATAAGTGTTTACGTTCTTACGTCTCGTGTTTACCAGAAACTCGTGAGATTTCGTCACGGTTTTTAACACTTTTCATTCTTCAGTGCTTTCACGCGTTGGTTATAGTGATTACTGATTAGTGATTACCCACAAATTTAAAATTAGTTCTTTCGTATAAATATTTGATAAACAATATTTCAAGACACATATACTGGCAGCCCCCCACATAACATTTTGGGCCCCAGTACCTACTAAATTTTTTTGCTGGCTCTATACACAACTTTAAAAAAAATACAACCCATTAAAATCAATACGGATACCTATGTCCCATACACGATTACTAGGTGATAAATAACACAGCTTAAAATAACAAAATTACTTTAAAATAAGTATTCTTATCAAAATTTCAAAAATTACAAATACCTACATTTCAACGGGCTTCTGTAATCCAGGTCCAACAGTCCCCCCTTGTGGGGGCCATGTATACTGGTATACTTAATACTTATATAGGTTATAACTTAGAGATATCTACTTACAACTTATTAGCTGTTATTTACTCACACATACCTTATAGGGTATAGATAGGTACCTGCAGGCTACATTATATAAGTGAAACTTATAACTTACTTTTAAGTTATATTATTATGAGGACGCCATATACACACATGCGTTGTCTCCGCTTTACAAGCGTAAAAGTATATTATAACATAGCAAATTGTACGTTTTGAATAATTAATTTACGAATTTACCTCTGTTATGATTAATTTTAGAGCGAATTGACCTATTGCCAAATATAGAAACAAAAATATTATCTCGGTAGTCGATCGCAGTGGCGTGGTGAGGGGGTTTTCCAGGGGCCGCGGCCCCTATTGGTTATTAGGTGGGTGGGTGGGTAGGTTACTGGGTGTCATTGTGTCAGTAAAAATTGGGGTAAAAATATTTAATAAATAAGAGGTAGGTTTCGTTATGAGCATGTATTGTCATTTGTCGGCTTGTCGCTTACAGGACAAGTTACAACATTATTGATAATGTTATAAAAATGATTAATCTGTATCAAAAATATTCGAATATTATTGCAGATTGCACTATTGCAGTAGTGCAGTACAGTGGTACACGTTCGTACATTTTATCAATAATTGTTATTATTTCTTAATTCAGATTAACCGTTGTAGACCATAGAGTAATTACTCTATGTTGTAGACTCCACGGACTAAGATAATATATATTTAGCCCGGGGTAGACGTAAATACGTAATACTTAAACAAAATGTCAATACGATACGGGTACTGCACCAGTGCGGCAGTGCACCACTACCCGCCCCCACCCCACTACGTGGTGATAAGGTACCAGCAGTGTATATTAGGTATTTATTCTTAGAAATTTGTTTTCCTGAAGCTAACCAGCCAGCAGCGACCTATCTATTGCCTTAATGCCTTCACGATAATCATTAGGATTTACGACAACGATCTAACCTAAAATCGCTTATCGGTGATATCATGTGAAAAAGATTTGACAAATTCTATTAACATTGATCTTAGATCATATACTATGGATGGAGCCACTGCGTATTATAGCAATACAAAAAGTTGAAGCCGATATTAGCGACGAGTCACCGAATTAGGTGATCGATATGCGCATGCGCGAAACAACTCGTTTAATATTAATATTATAATCACCAGCTGATAAATATGCGAGAGGTTGCGTTGCACATGCGCATATCGAACACCTAATTCGGTGACTCGGCTGGGATGGGGACAGTTATAATATTAATATTAAACGAGTTGTTTCGCGCATGCGCATATCGATCACCTAATTCGGTGACTCGTCGCTAATATCGGCTTCAAAATAATATGCAGTGGCTCCATCCATAGTATATGATCTAAGACATTGATGAAGCGATAGATAAGTTAGCGTTAACAAGTGATGTAATGAAGAAGTCATTACTTTTTAAATAATTAAATATTATTTGTTAAACATTTTATGTATGCATAAATGTTATTTTAGATTCTGAGCGGAGCGATGAATGTATTGGTTTTACAATGATGTATGTTTTTATATTTATTTTTTTTGTGTGTGTACACGATAAATAGTCGAAATAATGCTTCGATTTTCGACTTCAGTATCTTGTTCGATTGGAAAGTGAATATCGTTGGTGCATTGGGGAGGTCAAAATTTAAATTTCCCAGTAGTTTTCAAGAGCGCCGGGAAAAACAACATAAAAATTAAGGAAAAACGGGAATTTTTACGCAAAATCGGTTTTCCAAAAAATCGATTTTGGTTTTTGGTGTAACTTTAAAACAAATAACCGTAGATACATGAAATTTTCAGTGGTTGTTTATATTTGCATTTTCTATATACGATAACATTTTCAAAATATTTTGATTTATTTTGAACTGTTTAGGGACATTTTCATTTTTCATTTTTTTTTAGTTTATTTTCTAGAAATATCGATAAAATTTTATTTGTTGGTTAAAAAAACTTGAAAATTTAATAGAAGGCTCCTACTAAATTGTTTCAAAGGCAGATGAAAAATATTAAAAATCGTTAGTCACAGTTTTTTTTTATAAGCATTTAAAGTTCAAAAATTGACAAAATATGGAAAAATCACGAAAATTAGCAAATTATTTTGAGTTAAGAATTCGTAAAAATTTTTCTTTTTAAACCTAAGATTTGAAAATGAAACACAAGATTCCTTATAAGATTATCTACCTTTATCAATAAAAAAATCTCTACCGGACAGTCAAATTAAATTTTTATGAGCGTTTGAAATTCAAATTTTTACAACATTGGATATTCACTCGATTACTCATGTAGCGATTTCTTTATTTTGTTGCAATTCAAAAACGAACAACTGTAGATACATGAAAATTTCACTGAATGTTTAAATTAGTATTTTCTATACACCATACAATTTTGAAAATATTTTGACTCTTTTTGAGCTGTTTATGGACATTTACAGCTTTCAATTTTTTTTAGTTTTTTTTTTCTTTGAATATCAATAAAGTTTTATCTGTTGGGCCAAAAAGTGTAAAAATTTAATACAAGGCTCCTGATATATTGTTACAATATCAGTTGAAAAATATTAAAAATACATAGGCACAATTTTTTTTTATAAGCATTTAAACATCGAATTTTGACAGAATTTTTCAAAATCTCGAAATTTATTAATCATTAATTAATAAGTTATAAAATGTTCAGTTTTTATAGCTAAGGATTGAAAATTTAAAACAAGATTCCACGTAAGTAGTTAATTATCTTACCGAAAAATCTAAAAAATATACAATCACAGTTTATTTTTATAGTCATTTTATGTTCAAATTTGGACGAAATTTCATATTAAAAAACCTAGTTATTTTGTTGTGATTATATTATATTATTCGTGGGTACGGGGTACCTACTTGAAACTTCTAAAGTGTATTATTATATATCGATGATAGTATCAGGGTGTGTTATTGATGTTGATGTATAACGTGTTATAAGTACCTAATGGATATTGTGATAATGTGATATGATTAATTTGGAATTTATTATAGGTCAATTTTTTTTTAATACCATAGATTTGTATATAATTTATCTTAAACCTAGACTGACATACCGTCTTCGCTCAGAATCGTTTTTCTTATACAATGATATTATATCATTGAATTCAAATTTAATAGCATCCATTATACAGTGACCCACTTGTAACCTACTGTACAGCAGAGCGACATCCACTTACCCACCTTTATTATAATTGCATATTAAATTTTAAACGTTACTGTTCTAAAATATATTTTAATACTGTACATGAGTATAAAAAGGTTTTTTTTATATACAATATAAAATCACCCTTGGCATTTGAATTTAAGTGTAAATATTAATTTTAGGTGGGTAGGTGGGTTGGTATTCTGTATTTGGCCCCTGGTCAAAAAGTAGTTCACCACGCCACTGAGTCGATGACATAGGTTCTTTTTACAGTATAGTTTGTGATGACTGTAGAATTCTACCTAATGTAGTAATGTCATTAATATTAGTATCTAAATTAATACAATGTATTGAAGAATGAAGTTATCTTCTCTATTTTGTATAAAGTACCTAGGTACTTTAGTCCGTGTGGCGAGTTGAGTGAAAAAAAATTAAACTTTTATTGAATCAATATTCAATAGTGAGCTATCCTTAGTACCTACTACCTACCTACAACGTTAGACGTGCCTAAAGAATAAAAACAGTAAATGATGCTGCCATGCTGGCAAGTGGCGACTGGTGGACCAGTGAGAATTTTTTATTGTTTTTTTCCTTCTACGTGTCTCTACTCTCTAATTCTGAAGTCTGTGTCTCTGCATCCTAAGATAATCGATGTTTAAAATTCCGATAATAATATATCGAAACTATAATATACGACTATATACGACCATCGACTATCGTATAATATAATAATATGTTGGCCATCCTTAGCGATATTGCCATAATCTCGATTCTCGACGACGACGCGTGTGACGTGTGTGCACCGGGTTTGTGCGCGCGCACCGTTTGATAACGGCTCGTCGCAGTAATAATAATAATTGGATATTGGAATAACAAATTAACAAGTAACAATTTTTATCTTCGCTGACCCCATGCACGCAAGTACTACAACTGCTCGCTCCGATTATCACAGTTTTTAATTTTTATACCTATTATCATAATTCATAACATATTTACGCACGACGCATACTATTACGAGGTCACCTCGTATTTCATATTCTTCCGCCGGCATCCAACGGTCGAGAATCCCAGATCACATTTCGTGACCGCACCGGCAGTCGATAGAACGCCATTCCTGAGCAGAAACCTCGAGTTGGTTTACCAGTTGACATAACTTCACAAGGACGCGCCCCAAACGACAAATACGACGATGGTGAGTATAATTTATAGCCGTCCTTTTTTATTTTCCTCTGCCGGTAGAAATCTAAAACCTTTTCCCCAACGATGTCGACGATTCTTGCCCACACAACAATATTACTGTTTAACCCGTGACCTTTGTGTCCTTCAAGACGTCTGCGCTCGTGTGGAGACGTGTGCGGTCGATGTTACGTGTATATGGATGGACAACCAACCAACTATTCGCATAGCTGGACCCTGTGATCGAGACCGGCCCCAGCGTTAACATCCTTCCTTGCAACCGTCTAGATTCTAGAAGGTTTCTATTTATCCCCTGACCGTGCAGCTGATCGCCTGGGTTGAAATTCATGGGGTTATCAAACCGATTAGACATTTGTATTTATTGCAATATACCTAATATACTAACCCGCACTAATTGAAGAAACAGTTTGTTTTGTACACATTTATGTCAGGGACCATAATACCTATATAGGGAGTATTAATATTTGTAGAGAGCTACATCAAGAATTAAGATTTGGGGCCCATACAAAATTCAATGTTCTTACATTTTAACTGAAGAAATTGAAGGCAAACTCAATAAATAAATCTTAATCAAAGTTAACAGAATTATTCAATTTATTATAAATTTGTGTGTTGTTATGATAGGTCTGTAGGTAGTTAGAACATATTATTATGTAAGTAATCCTACATTAAAAAATTATGTAATTGTTATGATTAGGAAGATTTATAGTATCATTTAAAATGTCTAACCATATTTTAATCATTCCTATTCTCTAAAAACCACTAAAATTAAAGTATGTTACTCACATTTGAATTACTTAGGCACCTATAACCTATACTTAAGAGACTTACCTAAATGTCATCATAGACCATAGTATAGCAAATTTGAATATTTTAACTATCACTGAAGCTTTGACTTTTTTCAATTTAATCATAATAATCAACACAAGTTAAAATACTTTTTAATCATTAACCTTTGTATATTATATGGAGATTACAATTTTTTTTTTTAAGTACCTATTTAAGTCAATTATATTATATATTATTTTTCATGTTGTTTAAATAAAAAAATATAATAAGTATAATACCTACTATATTATGCAATTAAGTAGGTATAAAATAAAACTATAATTTAACATATTCCAGATTAGGTACATTATTTATATACCCGTTTATATACCTTATTGAAATTTTCCAACATATCTATTCTCATTGCAATATTTATAATTGTTGTTTTTCTATGAATTATATTGCACCTATTTTAATAAAACATATTTACAATTTATTGGGAATCTTTAATATACATTTGAAATGAATAATTTCTTTTAAAGCTTTTATTTTAAATCTACTTAATTAAACACTTTTTTAATTAATAATATTATTTTATCTCTCTGAATTGCATGTTTTAAATAAAGAATATAGGTACTTGAATAAAAAAAAAATACTGATTAAATGTTATCTGGATTAAATAATAAGCATTAAGTAATTTACTTAATTCTTTGTTTAACTTCTAATATCTGCCATGAACATTTTTATCATGTAAAATATTTATTAAGTACCTACTATATTTCAATGAAAACTAATTTAAATTTATATTTGACAATTTTACAAGGTTACTTATTCTTAAGTTTGTAGTAAAGTATAAAAATATTTGAAATTGTACCTAAGTTTATACAGTTATACCTAACAGGGCTTATATTAATATTCTTTTATTAACCAGTTGCACCAGATTCTTTTTAAAAACGGCTTATGCCTTATATAGTTATATACTAGGTTAGATGTTTTTTATAACAAATTTTTTCACAATATTACAAAATAAATTATGTAATTTTTCCTCTTGTTTTATTTAATCCATCAAAATAAACACCACTGAGGAAATTAAATTATATTCTGTATACACTAATTTATAAATTAAAATATTCTCAATTTTTCTTTTCTTCTTTGTTATTTAGGTATATTAAACTATTTTTTTAATAGTAAGTATTAAGAAACCTCTCAGCTGTATAGTAGGTATTACCTCGCCACTGAGTAGGTCACTCTAATGTGTTTTAAATTGAATTTGAATTCAATAATAAATCATTGCATAGGTATGAAAAACAATTCTGAGTGGAAGCGATATACATATTATTTTTTCATTATAGTAATAAAGTTAGTTTTTTGTTAGGTTAAATTAATATTTGCCAAAAACATAAATTGTATTATATCGATAATAATAATCATGATATAGGTACTAGGTATATTATTGTTATTAATTTATATGTCAATATTAAGGTACAGTAGAAATAAGTCCATGGTATAAATAGCTGATTTACGTTTCTGATTTACCAATCTGTATAAAAGCTAAAAATACTCAATATATTACAAAATATTTAACTTACTCTATTTAGGCTGAAGGTGAACCAATCCGTGTCGTAGTAACTGGCGCTGCTGGTCAGATTGCATATTCATTGATATCTATGATTGCCAATGGAGATGTATTTGGAACAAAACAACCAGTAATTTTACACCTCTTAGATATCCCTCCTGCAATGGGAGTTCTTGAAGGAGTTTGCATGGAAATTGATGATCTTGCTTTACCCCTGGTCAAAGGTTAGATAATTTAATTTAAATTCTATAATGTCTGTAGAACTCGATTTTACTAATAATTCATCTTATATTTAGGCTACGTAAAAACAACTGATCCAGAAGTAGCATTTAAAGATGTTGATGCTGCTTTCTTGGTGGGTGCAATGCCAAGAAGGGAAGGTATGGAAAGAAAAGACTTGCTGTCAGCTAATGTGAAAATATTCAAAGTACAAGGTGAAGCTTTGAACAAATATGCTAAGAAAGACGTCAAAGTTTTGGTTGTTGGAAATCCAGCAAATACCAATGCTTTAATATGCTCTTTTTATGCTCCTTCCATACCTAAAGAAAACTTCACTGCTATGACAAGACTTGATCAAAACAGGTATAATTAAAATAATTAATAGTTATAAATTTACAAATTGAATAATATTGCTTCTTTTAAAATAAAAATATAGAGCCCAATCAGCTATTGCTAAACGTCTTGGACTATGTGTAAGCAATGTCAAGAATGTAACAATCTGGGGAAATCATTCATCAACTCAATTCCCAGATGTTTTTAATGCATCAGTTACATCGTCTGACAGCTCAAAAAGTGTATATGATAGCATAAATGATTCACAATGGCTTGAAGGTGATTTTATTAAGGTAAGAAATTATGTTTAATTGAATAATTGTTATTAGTTTAAATAATATCTAATATTGCACTCTACAGAAGCCGTATAAATTTAAAGGCCAGGGCACTTAAAAAAATTTTTTTTGTAAATGTTTTCTGGTTTTAGGGGATTTTAGAATTAGTGGTAATTGATTACCGGTTACCAAAATTATCTCTAAAAATGTGGTTTTCAGTTTGGAAGTGGTTTTAATCCATTAAGATAACCGGTAACGACTTCGGAAACAGTTTTTTCAATTTATGTTTTTTTTTGGAAAATTTTAGTTTTACTTTAATTTACACAACATAAATATCCAATTTATAAAATGGTTCAGGACGATCTAAATTAAAAAAATAAATACCTATATGGCTATATTTTATCATTTAAAGCTAACCATCGATTGAAAAGTAGATCATGGATAAGTGTTAATCAATTACAATAAAATAAAATAAAAAATAATCATCTAATATTATGTTCTATAATATGTCTATGATCCAATAAATTGTACATTCATACGTCTTAGTACCAGTATCTATGGTTGGTGCTTATTACTTATTATCGCGGCTATAGACAGTATACTATCTTTGATCATACTTATTATTATATTACATTTATTATCTTGTAAATAAAATTGTTAGTCAAAAAAATAGAATCCAATTTCCAATAAAAAAAAAAAAAACAAATATTACGTTAATTTTTTTGTTATTTCCGGTTTTGTTGAATTGACCGTTTTTTAAAAAAAAAGGTTACCTCTCATGTTACCCCTTAATTGAACTTGGTGGTTACCGGTAATTGTTAATCGCTTATCAAAATTTAAACTTACAAACTGGGAAGCGGTCACCAGACCCGAAATTGGTCATGGTAACCAGGATTCCGTTAAAAACCTGTAACCGGTTTCAAGCCCTGAATTTTAAACACATATATATAAATACAGTGGCGTCATTTTTAGTAAAATCATGAGGTAGTGAGCTTCTTGAATAATGTTTTTAACTCAATTGCGTATTTGCGTGTGGTCTAATGAAGACCTCGGGCAGTTAGTGGAACAATAAGTCTTAGTCAAATTGTTCATCATAATTACATAAAAATATAATATCATAAACCCCACAATTTAACTTCCAAGGAAGTGTTCAAGACACTTAATATTATATTCACCTTCATTATCATTATTATAATCTCTTAATCAATTATTATTTAGTTTAATACGTATCAAAAGAGTTAACTAAGGTTGAACAATAATCTAAACCAATTTTCTAAAAAAAAAAAAAACAGCTATTTATTTGCAATCCTAAGAAAATTGGTTGAGTATTAATTTCTAGCCCTTGCTACCTCATAATGACACGTCCTATGTATAATACTATATAATAGAAAATACCAATCATCATAAATCATAATTAATTTAATTTTAGACTATTCAAACTAGAGGAGCTGCTGTGATTCAAGCTAGAAAGATGTCGTCGGCTATGTCTGCTGCTAAAGCAGCTGTTGATCATATGCGTGACTGGTGGTCTGGAACTGCTAGTGGTTCTTGGGTTTCAATGGGAGTTATCTCTGATGGTTCATATGGTGTGCCAAAAGATTTGATTTATTCTTTGCCAGTATCCATTTCAAATAAGCAATGGAAAATCGTCCAGGTATAGCTTTATAAAATGAATGATTTATGATTTTGAATTTTCCTTATTTATATTATTATTCACATTGTGTATAGGGTTTGAAAATAACAGACTTTGCAAAGAACAAATTGGATTTGACAGCTAAAGAACTACTTGAAGAAAAAGAAGAGGCTATGGCTGTTTGTAATGCTTGACATGTGTTACCCCCAACCAACTGTAAGCTCTGAATCTGCTGCTGTATCCCGGGCACGATTTTTTTTTTACTAGTGATTAAACCCGAGGTTTGGGGGTTATCCCAATCTCAAGATTGTCATTCATCAGTCATACTTAAAGATCTTACAATGCTACATTCATTCCCATAAATGTATGCACTGTTTATTTAATTTATATGTTACTACCTCTAAATGTATTTAGTATGTATCATAGTATTTATAACAATTATGGTAATGGATTTTTATTTTTATTATAACAAAAGAAATATATAAGGTGCCCGGATATAATTTGTTTTTTTTATTTTTTGCTTAGGGAAAGTTTAGAAACTAATTCTATAGTATATAACTATATACCAATTAATTAAGTTTGTTGGTAGATACTACCAAATATTGATTCTATTGTTATGGACGCGCACTTGGCGATTCCACACAAATAAAATAAAACGAGTTTAAATTACTTTGGCTCAAAATAATATTCTTTATTTAATCGTAATAACGTTTAATTATATGAAATGCTCTGAAATGGTCTGTAATGGTCTGTTGTGACACCAACACTAACTCTACCTGCTACGTGTGCGAGCCCCGCATACGAGCTGGTCGTCCGTTCAAAAAGGGTTTATTCAGCAGATTCCTTAGATCAGTCGTATGTAGAAGGGAGTCCTACTCACCTGTGTCACACACGTATCAGTTTACAATATGATTAAACAGAAATTTACATTTATACTACAAGAACTATAGAATAATATTACTAACAGTATTCAGGGGTTCTTAACACTATTCAAACAACATATTATAAAAAATAACTGCTAATTATTACCATTGATTATAATATTATATTATACAGTATATATTGTGTATAAATAGTTAATGTTATTAACAAAGAGTTAGGATTTAATTTATATGCAAAAAACTGGAAAATGTAATACAAGGTTCCCCATAAGTTGTTTATAGTGTAATAAAAAGAAAATTTGAGCTTAAATTCACAATAATTATTTATGATTGTCCATAGTTAGAATTTTGACAAATTCATAAAAATATTTCTTTTCATAGCTAACATTTTAAAATTTAATAGAAGATTCTTCATAAGTTTTTCTAACTTTTATGAAAAGAATTTACCGATAAGTAATGCCATTTTTAACCACGAGAAAGTTTCGATTTTTATTAATTTTTTTTTAGTTATTAAGTAGCTTGGTTATTTATTATTTAAGTATACTTAGCTGATACACCAGTCTCCATTCAATTTTTTTTATATATATATATAACATTGATATATAATATTGATTTAAACATACGTGTAATATACATAATTATAATTATTAATAACTAAATATGTATTACCCAAACATACTCTGACAATACAATAGCTTTACAAATATTCTCACATATTTCAATGATGTAGATAATTATACTATTTTAAACATGAATGGAAGTAGGTATGTATATTGTATACCCTCCGCGGAATAAGAAGATACTGCGCGGCGGACCGTCTTGCTTCCGTTTCGCTCAGCCGGTTTTTGATTGGTTCCCTGAAACCCCTGGAAGTGGTCGCAAAGAGAAGCGGTGCCTGGAGGAAGTTGTTTTGACTGCGCGACCAGTCATCTTCTTATTCAGCTGCGGGTATAGTTTATAAGTAAGATAACTTCTGGGCCTCCACACCAGTGTACTCAGTAATCTTTCTAATATCAAAATAAATAAAAAAAAAAGATATGCCAATAAGATATTTGACAAATCAGTGAAATTATTGAATGCATTGGTGGTCAAATGGTAGGAGATAGATCCCCATGCGCTGGAGTTCAATATAATATGGTAATAATACAATTTTTATTTTTGGTAAGAATTTGGTAATCTTTTCAAAATTCAGTGATCAGCAAGAGATGATGTGTTCTAGTCTCTAAACAAAAAATGGTTTTTAGTTTTAAGCACATTAAATAAAATTACTGAAGATAAAACTGAAAATATTTTAACTGGCTATGAGACAAAAGGTATATTAAAAATGATAAATACCTTAAAAACATTTTTATATCAATATTTATGGGAGATATTTAGAACGGTTCAATGCAATGCATGTAGTAAGAAATTGCAGTCCATTCAAATTGATTTTTGTATGTTGTAGACATTTACTAGTCATTGATAGGTTTTGTACAGAATTAAGCATTTCAATAACCCAACGTAAAGATTTATTGATGAAGACGAGAATAAATAACATGTCCTAGATATAAGACGCATGTCTCACTTATTCGCTTATAACACTTATTACTTATTATCAGTGGCGTAGCCAGAATTATGAAATGGGGGGTGTTTAAGTATAGATTAAAACCAAGTTTTTACAGTTTTCGTATATAAATAAATTTTGGGTTTAGAACTTGACTTGTTTTACTAAAAATTATCGAAATATGCAGTCAACATTTTCAAAATATACTTAAGTATATGCAGCTACATTTTTATATTTTTGAAAAATTCATAAAACATAATAGTTACAATTTTTGTAATAAAAAACTAAAAACTAAGTAGGTATATAAAAATGATAAAAATAATTTAAACACGGGTATACAAATTTTAATATAGGTAGGTAAATATATATTGATTAATATGATGGACGGAGGACACAGCTATTGTATGTTTTGGACATTTTTAAACTGTTGTGAAATGAAACTGGATTTTTAAAAATACTGGCATAAAATACTAGGTTAATAATAATAAATAAGTAATAAGAATAACGTGATATGTGAACCCCGTGATAAACGAACACGTATCTACTGATTTCCATTTCTTCGTACAATCTAGAATCTAGATGTCAATTATAGTTTTAACACAGTCTCGTCACAAAGAGACTTATAAAATCTTACGTACCATATGCGAAAATAGGGCAAACCGTAGCCAAGCTTCACCAACAACTTTAACAGCCCTCCAAAACATTTACAAAAAATTTTTAAACTTATTCAATTTTATAATAGTATGATTTTAGGCTTCGGCTTCCCCAAATCTTAAAATTAGCTCCTATTGTTCCTAGCCAACCATAATATTTTAAAAGATATTTTTCAATGTTATCCAAATATGATTTTTCCCGACAATTGTATGTAAGTACCTACATTTAAGTTAAAAAAATTCAATATATGCACAAATATACGAAAAATCGCTCAAATGTACACTTTTCCTACAATATGCAAAAATATGCAAATTCAAACATCGTTTGATAAGACAAAAAAATTTCATAAGACAAATTTATAACTTATCTAAAATAACCTACTACCACTACAATAAAACATGCAAGGAGTCCCGAACCCTATAAACAATATATTTATTAGGGGAGAAATGTCAATGGGGGGTGTTTAAACACCCAAAACCCCCCTGGCTACGCCACTGCTTATTATGCACCTAATTCGATAATATTATATTGAACTATCATCATAAATTATTTTTTTTATAGACTAAAATATGTGCTTACCATTATACCATAATAATTACTGTTTTTAATTTTTAGATTTTCAGTGTGGGGCAAGGTAATACCATAGAATTATTTAGGCCTGAAAAAATAGAAAAAAATCATAAACTAATGTATGTCCCTATAATATATGTATATGTATGCATATTATGTAAAAACTAAAAATAAAAAAAAATCATTGTTGAATTGTTTCATTCAATGAAAATTCTTCTATGATATTTCCAATAAGCCCCTGTTTTTTTTGTCGATTTCGGTGTATTTATAATTTATATATTTTTTTTTCAATTTCAATTTCAATTATACAATGGTATATCGAGATATCAGTATAATGGTCAGCCGTTTGAGAATTTTGCCTGTTCGTAAAACCTTTTTCGATGGCAGCTGTTGGGGAATGGGGATGCGCCGACATTTTAAATTTTAAAAGAATTTAAATACTCATGAATCATGACATTAATATTCAAATATTATATATTTATAAACTATGTAATATTATTTGTATAGGTTTATATTATAAAGGGTACCTTATAGGATAAAACACCTAAATAGAAAAGGAAATAAGTACAACAATAATTGAACACTTAAATTTTTTGAAAATTGTATTTTATTTTATAAATTATAAATTATTAGCTATAGTGCATTAGTACTTAAGAACAAATTCCGGCTTAGGTATAAAAAGTAACGCTCAGCATATTATGTGGCCTACCATCCGGTACAGCGGCGTTGAATATTATACGGTCGTCGAAGTTTTCAGTGACTTACTCACAAACGACCAGCCGGTTAACAATGATACCATCGACTATAGTGCGGGCCACGAAAAGTAGGCCGCGATCGACACGCCACGAGCGGCTGTTTTTAGTAAAACCAGGGGTTCTCCGTTTGGTGTTATTATTATTATTATTATTATTATTTTATTGCAGTACAGATGGTTTTCTGGCGGTATTTCATCGCATTTTAGTATACATTTTCGTAATTTTGTTTTTGTTGACTCGTTGGTATGTTATATCACCATAGATAATAAATTATATCACAAATAATAACAATAATTTTGTGTGGTTATGTTATTATCGTCGTAAAATTCGTACCGTGGTTTGCGCTATAACATTTCCTATGTTCACAATAACTTTGGTTTTTAATTAACGCGGGTTTTAAAGTTTGAATTTTTTTTTGTCTTGTTATTAGTTATATTATACAATAGAAGTTAACAGTTTTTTACAGTTTAATATTTTTAACAACACATTTTTAAAATGGCATTCAATGAAGATATCCATTCTCAAACGAAGAAAGTGATTTTCCATATATACAATTATTTCAAGACGATAGCTACTGATAAAAGTAAGCCAGAACTTTCAAATTTTTTTCAACAAACCCGTGAAGTGACTGCTAAAGCATGTGGCGTAAGTCTCGCTTGTGTAAAAAAAGTTTGTTGTGAAGCGAAAAAAGAACTTGAAGGCGGACCTTCTAACAAAATTGCTTTCAAGTCTCCTAGGAAAAATTATAAACGTGTAAAAATAATGAGTTCTCTTGACGATTTTGACAACGA